GATAGAAAACTTTGAATCAGTTTGACTACATGGTGTGCCTTGAGATGATGCATGTTGTGAATTGGTGCTATATAAATAAACTGAAAAAAAAGCAGCAAAAAGGCCGCCTTTAGATTTTATCTGTTATTTACCTCACCAAGAGTTGATTTGTGGGAGAAAAATGAAAGCTATGTTATAATAAAACTTTTAAATGGCTTCATCCAAAAATAAATTTCTGTATAAAGATCCTTAGTCTTCTGCCATCAAACAAGAACAGGAAGCTTTGTTTTACTAGCGCCTTTTTCTTTCCTAATTAGACAAACATGGAAAATGCTTAAAATCAAATTCTTGTCCCCAACTCCAGCAGGAAGATAAAAGTTACCTTTTCAAAAGCAGGTGGAGGATTTTTGCCTCTACAGAGATTAGACAGAGCCCATACTGCATTCCTAGTCATTGTGAGTCTGGTAGATTTGGTCAAAAGCCTAAAAAAAATGAAACAAGCAGTTAAACAAAACAAGAGATAACATCAGGAGAGACATCGGAGGCAGAAACCTGTCTGATCAGTAACGAATGAACTTACAGCAGCAGCGGAGGGAGGATGTTACAGTTCAGCACATAGTCCCTGCATACTGCACTGTCCCCGGCTATATTACCCAGAGCCCAAACGGCCTGCAGTCACACATATAAGGCAGGTTATTACTGAGCAGAATATGAATCTGTTTGCTGCACATCAACACCATAACATCCTGCCGGATAGTTTCAGATGAAAAAGATGTTTTACTTGTTCTTGGACATCCTCAAAGTCTGAGTTAAGCAGTTCGATAAAGATGGGCACGGCTCCAGCCTCGATCACCGTCTTCGTCTGGAGGGACGTCCCTGACGCGATGTTGGTCAGGGCCCACGCGGCTTCGAACTGCAGCGGCAACAGAAAAGAAAAACAACTAAATGGAGAGAAGGAGGTGAATCCTTGCTGATGTGGTCTTTAAAAACAAACAAACTATTATCCTATCAGTTTTATGAACTCACCTGTAGTGTGCAGTTGGTGCTCTTCTGCAGAAACTCTACAAACCTTTCCACCACACCAGATGTGTTTATAACTTCATCAATTGGAGGATTGGGCTCTGAAAAGAAAAAAATGGTGCTTTAGTTACGATGCAAATTAAAGTCGTAGGGAAATGGCCACTCCAACCGTTTCATTTCTGAATTCTCCAGAGTGGTGCCCGACTTTATATGAGTGAATAAAGTGAATGTGATTGGTTGTTTATCAAGAGGGCGGGTTTGTTGTTGCGGAAGGTTCGCAAGCAAGTTTGATTGTAGCCGGTTTCTTACTAGCAACTTATTGCTAGTAGGTTCCCAATGGGAAATTACATTTGAACCAAGTAGCACTTAATTGGGGACAAAGATGTTGTGGAAGAGGACGCCAGGGTGGCAGAAGCTTGGTTTGGTGTAGAAGGCTTACAGCCGTACATGTTTGAGTCCTTGCCTCACAGCGCTGCCTGTTCTGTTAGCTCTACGCCTGCTGAAGACACAGATGTCCATCCCTGTGAACACTGGGATGGAACTCCGTTGCGTATATTAGCTGCAACTTATGAATCAAGACGCTATGACCAAAAAGATTAGATTGATAGATGACCGTTGATATATGATTGGCCAAATTGAGGTGTACAGGCTGACGTATAACTAACTAGCCTGCATAAGATAATGAAAAAAAAACCCCACAGATTTTAAGACAGGATTTCTCAGAGGGAAGGCGTCCGCTTTGCCTGGGGGGCTAGTCTGAATAAGGAGGCTAAGAGATACATACCTCAGGTAAGATTAAGTGCTTATAACTTTTTTTTTTTTACAGAACTTCGCTTAAATTAATAGGTAAATAAATCTCAAATTGTCATTGAAATGCATTTTATATGTCTGTAAAATGCAAAAAAATTTTCTTTTAAATGAAGAAATTATTTTTTTTAAAAAGAACAAGCAAAGGAGAACTAAATATTTCTGCTGGTATTAAAACATTTGGCCCCACGAAGACTTCACTTTGTACCTTTGGAAAGTAGTTTTCTGAACTTTTGTGTTGTGGCGAGCTGAAGTTCTGGGTCGTCTGAAAAAAGCATCTCCACCATATCTCTGGTAATAACTCCTTCCTAAATGAAAACAAGTACAAGGATTCTGAGTAGCTGCTACCCTCTGCTCATATACAAATATATGTTTTAATCAACAGGAAACAATAAAGCAGCCTTTGAAAGAATCAAACTAAACCATAAGTAAAAACTCACTGTTGCTGGAGAGTTGAGGTATGAGTCCACCAGCGGACTCTCAAACATGACCTCCTCTTCATTCAGAACGTCCACATTTCTTCTCTTGAAAAGCTGCAAACAACCACAGAGTCCCAATGGTCAGAACACAACAAGACTTTAACGTCTTTCTTTAAAACTGGATTAAAACAAAGAATCTGTAAAAGCCAACGCACCTGCTGTTCTCGTTTTTGTTTCCTGAGTTGGATGCCTTCCTCTTCTCTCCTGCGCCTCATCTCGTCTGGGTTCAGTGCTTTGTTCTTGTAGCGGTTCATCCTGTAGTTGTCCTTGGCCGGACTGGCTGATGGTTCTGATGGCCCACAGAAAACACGGACATGTGATTATGACATGAGCCGGGAACAAACACAAACTGATTCCACATCGGAGGTGAGCTCAATGAGAACACCGTGTGTAAGAAAACACGAGCAAACATGTGACAGGTTAGCATTCATCTCTCCTTCACATCTCTAATATTAGGTTGTGACGGAAGAAACGGCACACACAGAACCCAGTGGAAGCCCTCTTTAAAATAGCTTATTTAAAAAAAAACAAAAAAAAAAAACACAGGTAGACAGTCAGCAAAGTGAGATTAATTAAACATATCTGAAGGTTTAATTTGACTAAATTGGTGCCTATGCACAACAAAATGACCACAATCGGCTATTGTACACCTGTACAGGACAGAGGGCATATCTGTGTCACCCTGGGTGAGGCACACAGAAAATAAACCACTGCAGGACGCTGCCAAGGGCCTGTGCCAAAAAGCCCCCATAAATACCAGCAGGGGGCTTTGAAGGGAAAACCCTCCAATAAGCGCTTGAAATTGAGACCACATTTTGTATAACCTGGTTTAAAAAGGGTTGGATGTATACAACAGATGGTCACAACGCATGGATAGACAAACACATGCAGCTGGGTGCTCTAATTTTTCTTAGAGTTGGATTGCTATATTTCTGATAACTGCTAAGCCTGTTAGCCGTTTGAGCAAGGTGGAACAAAAATAGCCTAGCGTGTCTGCGCTGGAAATTCCCTCATCCCCACTGACAGTGTGACGCTGTAGAGTGCTCCAAACAGTAGGGTGGAAAACTTTAGGATGTTGACTAGACCAGCGTTTACTCATATGACCAGCTGAAACTTTGACTCATTTTACACATTTAAAGCTTGTGTAAATGTGTTGATACTTGGAGAATTTTTAACAACAACAAGAAAATGAGAAAAGAATAATCAAAATAGCTGAAAGGAATTTAGAGATCCCCACACTGCGACAGAAAAGCAGGCCTTCCGTTTGGGTGATGCATATCTGTTTGCTGTGCAGGGTGTGACAATATTTTTGGTGAGTTGGTAAAGATTCTCAGTCATCCAGGTCATAGTCACTCCAGAAAAAGAAAGTTAGAAACAATCCACTGGACTTTGTTTCCAAGTTTGAAGACGTTTCACTTCCCATCCAGGAAGCTTTTTCAATTGAAGTGTCAGAATGTTCACATTTTGGATAAAGAAAATAGTTGGTTTGAGAGGGGATGTGAGGGAAGCCTGCTATGTTAAGAAAAAACAACCTTAAACAGAGGAGGTGAACTGAGATTTCAGCTTTCAAAAACCTACAATGCAGCAATTGAGTCAACCCCTTCCCCTTATCGCAGCCCCAATCTCTGTACAGGAGAGCAGACCTCGCCTATTCAGCCAGGCCAACAATTCCCTTTAACGACCCCCCTTTCATAGACTTAAGACAAATTTATGCATCTGACTCAGAGCCTCTACCACCATCAAATCCGTCTCTGTGTGCGACCACGCCCCCCATGCAGGGGTTCTGCAACAGTCGTCTTGCAGCTCAAAAAAATCCTGACTATGCTTTGGATGGTCGCAAACCCGCGAAAACCTCAAGCAGAAGTGTGCAGACAAAAAGCAGCGGTGCTTGGTCCTTGGTATGCCTTTCCAGCTGTCTGTGTGGTCTTCCTTATCGATACGGTGCCGGGGCACGCCATTTTTAAAAACCAAGGATCAACTACAACGGACAACTACGACGAAAGGTTAATCTGTCTTTTTGCCAACTCCCTTAGCAGAATGTGTTCTTCTTTGATGTCTAGCAACTCTAGATTCATCTCTGTGACTGTGATATCTTAAGTCCCTAGAAATTCCAGACCAACGGTGCAGAAGCATAGCAGCAAAACTGGTTCGCGACCAGACCCCATATTTTATTTTGATTTAACCTTTATAGACTTATTTCCAGAATCAAATTTCTTGAAAGCAATTTATACAAATCTGTCTTAAAATAACTATAAAGGTTCCCATTGGATTTTTGGCATTTGGGTCAACTGGTAATGCTTTTTATATGAAGCTGGATAACTAAAAACAGAGAGATGGATGAAAGGAGAACAGGACTACAGAGATAAAAGATTCATAAATAATACACAAATACAGAATTAAAGAGAAACATAGTCTGGAGACACATTTAAGCATACATTTACAGAAATATAAACTAAATGCAATTTATTTTTCCTTTTTTTAAGAGGGAAAACTGCAGCATGCTTTTTAGGTTCGATGTGAAATATTAGTGGCATCAACCGGTTTCCCGCAGCAGCTTATTTTTAGGTCACTTTAAATTCAGATCATATTGAAATACAATAAACAGCATCAGTACAAATAGTAACCCTAAGCAGAAATTGTGCATAAACAAGCTTAACACATAAGACACCTGACTCCCTGCTAGGGATACATTCCGACGTGTAACCATTTAAAATATCAAAATTGTCAATAGAAAAGATATGGCTAGCAGTTTATTGAACATAGAGTAATCTGTGTTCGTTTAACATTATAGGTCTGGAATAAACTAACAGCCAAAACGAATAACAAGGTTTTTTTTTTTTAACACCACCCTCAATGTTGTGTAACTGTACGGGTCTCAGGAATGGGGCTAAATGACAGAGCTAACGGACTTAGCCTAGCCTAGCATGCTATCATAATTCTCTAATTGACTTAACAGTTAAACTGTTTTTGACACTACGCTCAGATACATTGAGGCTTTTATTAATTCCTGTGAACTAAATTGGGCGCAATCCCTGATTAAACATCGTCGTCATGCTGTGGATAACAGACAAAACTAGAAAAAAATATTAATAGCTTAATAACGTGGCTATCTGAGCCAATCTATATATAAAAAACACAGCAAGGGAGATACATAGAGACACGACCAAACGAAACGAATTAAGTCGCAACAATAAGGAGGTATCTTAACGAATAACTATAAGGAGAGATTAAAAACTACGTGGGTCTTTATAATAGCAAAGTGCGTTGCTAACGTTACTAGCACCTAGCCAAGTTTTCCAAGTTAGCTCCTCTCGTTAGCACTGATACATCGTTGGTAAAATAAAACGTTTGCAACTTAACATGCATATGTTAGCCAATTCAAGAGTGTCACTGGATTGAATACATTAATTGCTTTTGATGAAAGCCCATTATGAAACGGGCAAAACAATTTTCCAACTGCGTGTATAAGCTACACCATTAGGCTAACACGCTAGCCGAGTAGCTACACAAAAGTCACAGAGCAGTTTTCTTGTTACTACTTCCAACTACAGCAAATATACTTGAAATACATTTACACTTTTAGTTATAAAAACGACTTACCCATTGTGGTATTTATATTTTGAGTACAGAAGGCCGTGAAGATGTATATAAAGTTCAAATTCTTTCCCCTACTGCTAGCTTTCCAGAATTTGCTCCAGTAAGCAATATGGCTGCCGGAGACGGAAACGTCAACTAAGAGCGCAGGAGCGACTTCCTGCCACCAGGGGGCTCCCCAGTACAACAAATATTACAGCCTATCCCTCAGTGATAAGCACGCTGTTATTTTTTACTTATGAGCTCATGAGTTTTTTTGGCGCAACTTATTAGCTAACAAAAAGTTTAAAAACCAACTGGCAAAAAAGAAAAAGAAATGTTTCCATACAGTGAAACAAGAGCCTTAGATAGATGGATGGATGAATGGATGGATGGAACCGAAAATAGTCAAGAAATGCAGCAATTTCTCCAAAATATTTTTTATTCTGTTCTTATTCAGGTGTGTTAAATACTACAAATTTTTGAGACATGGTTCTTTTTTAATCTCGAATATCTCTCTCATCAACATCAGATTTTTTAAGAACCAGGAAAATCATTTTTTTTTTAAGGAACACTCAATGCACTGCATTAAAAAGATAAATGTTAACATTAGTTATTGCTGGATGTAGCTGTTGAAACCTGTTGTATGTAAACATCATTCAGTATTGTTAATGGTCAGGGTAACTGTAACTGTATTCTAAGTAAAGATATTTTTTTTTTTTAAGGCAGATGCTGATGATGATTATTGTCATCAGTTGAACTGATCTCAGATATGTGTTGCCAATATGGTGGGCGGTTCTTTAGGCCAACGTTGCAGCAATTAGCACATTTTTACCCAAGACTCATTTTGAGCAAAAACAAAAACAAACATTTAAAAATAATAATTTAACTTTATTGATCTCACACTGGAGAAATTCACACTCCACATTTAAACCATCCTCTTAGGGAGCAGTGGGCTGCCATTGCGCGGCGCCTGCAGAGGAGTGTGGGGTTGAGGGTCTTGCTCAGGGAGCCAGTCTGTGGGGATTGAACCAGGTACTTGCAACCTTCTCAGAGCAAAAGCACACTGCTCTAACCACTAGGCCATCACCTCCCCACCATCACTTCCAAATCGTTGCATGCAGCTAGAGCACACCCTGTACAGTGTGGGTTAACAGCTCATGATGTATGTTCTCACACTGTGCAGCAATGGCATGGCCACTAAGGAATTGACAAAGGCATGCAGGTATCGGTTGATGTCGATAAAATAAACCAATATATTGGACTATGTCTAATTCTATGTTTCTTGATGGAAAATCAGACAGTTTGGAATCCGTACTCAATGTAGCTTTACAAGCAACACTGGAAAAGCTGTTTCTTAAATGTGTCAAATATGTTGATGCAATAAAAGCCTCTTATTAGATATGTGGGGCCATGGTCCATCATATTTCCTTAAAATAAGCATGGCTCTGTACCAATTTAAAAACACACGACCTTTGCAGAATAAAAAAGGAAGTTTAGGGGATTCATTTCTGCTTAGAGGTCATATTTTGAAAAAATTGTGGAAAATGACAGTCACATTTACACCAAGACAGGCTCTTCAATGTTGACTGGCATTTTGCGACCCTTCTTGTGTCAACAGACGTACTAAAGTGGTGTAAGTGTGCAGGAATCATGATGATGTGTTTTGATTGGGTAAACCAAAGGGTACAGGTGTTAGTTAGTTTCTCTGTTGGCTAAGGCTTTTCCAAAGCTGACAATAAATGTTATCTTCAAAGGTGACAAATGAAGAATTCTGGAAACCCATCTGAACGAATCCAGAAAAAGACCAAAACAGATGCTTAGATTACTTCCACGTTAGTTCCTGTATCCGTGAATTAATATTGATGGATTTTTTTTATTAGTGGGAAAAGCAATTTTTTATGTGTTTTTTGTCCCATAAAAAAAGCAAAATACCACATGGGAGGTTTTTGCCTAAATCTGGTAAGTTTGTCTTCATCCAGAGTGAAATGAGTCCTGTTTCCACATGAATAAGCCATTACTCACAAAGGCAATATGGACATTCAAATTACAATTTGAACATGCTCTTTAGTTTTTTTAATTAATCATGTTTTTTTTTGGTCTTATAGAAGCGATATTTAACCTCTTTGACCTTAATTAATCTTTTCACAGTCGTAGAAAAGAGGTAAAAGCATTACAAAAGCAAATACTATACTTCACAGTAAAGTCTGTTTTCAATCTTTCACAGTTTAGGGGGAAAGAAAAGTAATCTGTAAGCAGGACAGATGCAAACCTGAGTCAGTTATAACACTTTAATTCTAACAAAAATATAATCAAAACTTAACCAGATAAAATGGACTGAAGTCACACAAATAAAAAGTCAGCCATTTTATGGAAATGTATGTACATTTTCAAAAAATAAAGCTTGTTTAAGTTGGCATTCTAGACAGCATAAGGAAAAAAAGTGTGTCTTTTTTATATTGTATATATATATATATCAGCACCTCAAAACTTGTAGATTCAAATTTTGTGAAACAGTTTCTACAGAAAACCCTTATGCAAGGGAGCTGGAATCAAAAGCAACAAAATTCACATTTTATTTATAAAATTTTGGAGAGCTGTTATTTTTCTCTCTGCCTCATAACCATACACTACTTTATTGTTAAAAGCACTGATATGCTAAAGTACAAAAACATGAGAACTAGGTGGATGCATATTTTTATGTGCAACACAGATTTTCCTTTTTAGTGCCCACGTTTCTTTTTTATATAAAAATGAACCACTAGTTGAACAATAACTGATATAAATGAGTTCTAAACACATCGCCACATGATGCAGCATTCTTCCCTCATATCTTCCACCCTCTGTCCTAATTTAGATGCCTCTATTTCAGCTGTATCTGTATATTTCCCCTTGGTTTCAAGAGGCACTGTGAATGGTCACAGATCCCCAGTGTTTTGTGTTTTCCTTAAATTGAAAGTGACAAGGTAATACAGGTGAGGCGCATCTATGGTCGATTTGCTGGGAGCAGGAGGTGGTAAATTACTGCACTATATTGTGATGCACCATCGTCCTGTGACATTGGTCCCTCAGGAAGTCAGATGTGCACCCAGAGAAAACTTTAGGGGGCAATGTTGCACAAATGAAAGAGAAAACGACTCTTGTCGGACGAGATCTGTCCGCAGCTTCAAAGGGTGTGTGAGGTCAGACCAGCTGTGGCATAACTGAGATAGTTCTTTTGCAGCCATGTGCAAACGTTGTAAAGGATCCCCGATCCCTGACCGTAGCTGGGTTGTGCTTGGCTCAGCAGAGCACTACGGCCTGAGCACTCACTGTCTCCAGTGGGTGTTCTGGCGCAGAGATGAATCAAAAGCTGGATTGCAGCTTTTCTGACTGTATCAAATAACTGATACACGCAGGACCAATTTGTCCTACAGAGTCAGCATTCAAATGCTCTCAGATCCAGACCACGGTGCTTTAACTCAGGGCTTTTCACCTCCGATTTCACAGTCGCTTTTAGGACCTTTTACCTTTTTATTTTTTCATTTCTGGGCCTGCTGAAGCACATCACACAGCAACCGGTTCCACACAGAGATGCAAGGGCTTTCCATTAGTTAATGCCACAGAGTAAAGAGTGTTTTTTGTAATGAGATCATGCAAGCAAAGCAGCTCTTTTGAATAAAGGGTTTAAACTAAAGCTCAGAGGGAAATTGTCATTTCTGCAGCTAATTCCCCCTCATTATCTTCCCTTAACATACAGTAGACCTAGAACAGAACAATCAATACCCTCTGCACCCATCTAAATTCAAAACACTAAATTAAATTATTAAGAAACAAACTTTAGCACAACCACTTATGCCAACCTCATTAGAAGACATTAGCCATTCAAGCTGAGCCAGCTGTATTGATAAAATGCACTGCATTCTCTCCAAGCTCCTTGATGCCGCTGCAACAGAGCAAAGGGTTCAACAAAGAGGTGTCCGTCAAGTTAAGTTTAATTATATATAGATGTAAAATTTTTCAGCAAAGACCTTCATAGGATGTATTTAATCAAGAGTATGGGGGGTTTAAACCTAATGTCTAACAAGGCTTTTAAACATGCAGTGAATGCAAATGGAGGCATGCAGATCAAATGCCAGAATTTCTTCAACTGAGTCCTTCCTTTGTCAAGGATGAGGATCTAGTGCAGGGGTCACCAACCTTTTTAAGGCTGAGAACTACTTCATGGCTACTGAGTCATAAGAAGGGCTACTAATGCTGGCCTATAAACTTTTAATTTAAAAGTTTCTTCTAGATAATGTAATTTTGAATCTGTATTAATGCCTAAATGCTCTATAAATGATTAAAAAAGAAGAGCAACATTATAAAATTAAATTTAAATGTGAGCCATTCTGTTTTCAGAAGACGCTGAGGGCCCCAATGTGGTCCTGGAGGGCCCCTTGGTGCCCATGGGCACTGTGTTGGTGACCCCTGATCTTGTGAATGCAACCAATGGCCATGAACTTTAGCTCATCACCCAGTTACAGGGTTGCCTCTAGAGCGTTTTAGTCCTTGTAAGTTCATTGCAAGTGCTAAATTGGAGACTTGAAATTCAGATTGTTTCTCCACAGAAGATGTGTTTGAGTAAACTTTGCTCAAATTGAAAAAATTTATATTTCTGAAAAAAGAAAAAAAGAGAAAAATTTGCTTCTTCATTAAGGTGATGTTAAAGGGCAAAAATTTCCTCAATTCATAGGTAGTGTTGGATTATTTAAAAGAAGCAGAGGACAGGTGGTTTGAAAGAGGGGTGGAAGAAGCCATCTTTGAAAAAAGAGAATAGCCATCAGTGAACAGAGGCTGACGATGGTGGTTTCACCCTGCAAGCTGTCCTGGAACTCATTTCAAAGAGGAAATGCAAGCAGTTTTATAATGATTTAATTGGCCAAGCACAAAACCCAAGCAAAACAACAGACTCAGACGGTCCTGGAAAATGATGGGTGGGTCAGTGATTTTCAGCTGATGTCAAGACAGACAGACATTTGAATTGAGAAAGCTTCCTGGAGAGGTGGCGAAACGTCTTCAAATCTTGGAAACCAAGTCCAGTGGATATTTTTTGAACTTTTATGGAATGACTATGACCTGGATGACTGAGAATCTTCATCAGCATGGTTAGGTGGATGGACCTCCC